ATAAACTTATTCGATGTTCCTTCAATTAAGCTTAAGTAGGGTTTTTATACCCGCACTTTCTAAAGATATATTGTTGTTACTCATGTCCGTCCGTCCGTCCGTCCGTCCGTCTGTCCGTCCGTCTGTCACACTTTTCTTCCCTGAACTCCTCTTACATTTTACACAGTAGCCTAATCATCTTTTGGGAGATGGTTGGTGGTGTCATGTAGATGTGCAGTAAGGTTTCGGAATTTTGATTTTGCCCCGGGGGGTCAAATGGGGGTCGAAAAATGACGTTTTTTATGCAAAAAGCCCCGTCTTCCCTGAACTCCTCTTACATTTTACACAGTAGCCTAATCATCTTTTGGGAGATGGTTGGTGGTGTCATGTAGATGTGCAGTAAGGTTTCGGAATTTTGATTTTGCCCCGGGGGGTCAAATGGGGGTCGAAAAATTACGTTTTTTATGCAAAAACCCCCGTCTTCCCTGAACTCCTCTTACATTTTACACAGTAGCCTAATCATCTTTTGGGAGATGGTTGGTGGTGTCCTGTAGATGTGCAGTAAGGTTTCGGAATTTTGATTTTGCCCCGGGGGGTCAAATGGGGGTCGAAAAATGACGTTTTTTATGCAAAAAGCCCCGTCTTCCCTGAACTCCTCTTACATTTTACACAGTAGCCTAATCATCTTTTGGGAGATGGTTGGTGGTGTCATGTAGATGTACAGTAAGGTTTTGGAATGTTGATTTTGCCCCGGAAGGAGTAATGGTGTCGAAAAATGATATTTTAAAAAGTGAGGTCAAGGTCAAAGGAAAATTCAAGGTCAAAATAAGTTGACGTATTAATAGCTCTTAGCAGTATGTATCAGCATATGAAGTTTGATAAATATATCTTGAATTGTTTATTCAAAACTGGTCTAGACATTAATTTTAGAAAAGTGAGGTCAAGGTCACAGGAAAGGTCAGGGTAAAAAAGAGTGAAGCATCGTCAAGCTTACATCAGTATGTATCATCATGTGAAGTTTCATTACACAACTTGAATGGTTTCTTTAAAATAAAGTTAAACACTAATGGAGACACCACCATTTGAAAAATAATGAGGACAACTTAGATTTGAGGTCAACATTCATTTTAGGAGTTTTCAACCATTAAGACGTAAAGAAATATTAACTCGATCCTTCCCCTCACCCCTTCCCAGACCCCTGTTTGTTCATGTATGCAAAAAAAATATTGTTTTTTTTTAAATACAAATAGTTTAATGTGGTCCATCTCTGAATGATTCTCATTCCTAATTCTAGGAAGATATGTTGACACAAATTCATGAATAAAATGTCAAGTAATCTTATCATTGATGCACTTTTATTTAATTTAATGCAGTCATATTGTGAACATTTCCAGCTCATTAGGAGAGTGGGGATGACCTCTAGGGGTTCATAACCTTTATACCATTAAATTTACATAACATAATAACACAAGAAACAATATTATGTATAATCAAATGGAAAAAGTTTCCTACTATTTAGGAGTCACATGATCATTTGTCATTACAGTGACAGGGAAGTGGATTGGGATATCACCCCCTCCACACCCCCCCTCCCCCCGGAATTTGCAGGACTATAATATATACTGGAGGAAATAAAAATGACTTTGGATGCCCTAAGTGTCCCTCCACCCTAGAAAACAGACCAAACCATAACTTCTTTTTTTTCTTGCTTCTCAGGAAATTCTGGTCTGGAACCCACCCACCCCCCACCCCCCCACCCGTCCCTCCCAGAAAAAAAAATTCTGGATCTTGTAACTGAATGTAACGTTGATAACGGGGGATAACTCTTCAGAATGTGAAATTCGTCTATTGTAGCATCGGATGACCTTTGATCCTTTAAACTTTAACCTAACCGTTTGCATTTCAGACTATTTTACCCAAATCTATACCAAAACTTGTACTTACCAATTGTTATTATTTAGGCCCTGTCATCTTCATGAAATATAATCCAGTTAAAACACAAAATGAAATAATTCCTACCGACATATATGCAAATATGCACACTAGTATCCTACTGCACGTGCAGTGAAATCTAAAATGATAATGCCAATGGTAAAACTAGTACTTAAGTTGGGTACGTGACGCAAGCCCAATGTGATGCAGGTGTTCAGATACATGTATAGTGCAAGAACAAATTGAAAATTATCATTTACAAAAGATGTTTTATTTTAGCTTTGCAATCTAGGCCTATTTGCAAAAACAGACAAATAAGGTGTGTTTGTGTGTGTGTGTTGATGGGAGACGGGTGGGGTTGACTATTAAATTGATTGTGTATATGGCAGCTTTCAAGAAGTTTCTGCCTAATCAAATATAAATAAACTTTGCACATATTGAAAAATTCATCAAAAACGCTTTACACTAATTTGAATAATATTATTTGTTGTTAATCTATATGAGAAAATAGATTTAAAAAGTTCCAATTATGTGCCAAAAATCCCCCCCCCTTTTTTCAAACCTAATTTACATCATTAATTTAATTGTGTAGTTTAATTTCCGACTGGTAATGAATTAAGAATATGAAATACCTATAAAATGGAGGCCCATGGGTCACATGGTCACTAGCTGCAGATCTGTAGCGTTATGGTTTTATATATTAGTTTTCGACTGCAGATCCTGTAATGCAAAAAAGGTGCAATTTACGGCGCAATATTTTTTGCGCACTTCTGGGGAGAATTTCTCCACTTTCCAGCATCGGTCAATTTACTACCTTTCACTCCCTAATTCTAGGCACATTATTTAATCAATCTGTATATTTTATCCATCTCCCAACCCTTTATAGTCGTCTCTACTCGAGATAAACTCGCTTGATTAAAATTATTTGTTAGATTGCTGAAAATTCACATCAAGCGAGTTTATTGCCTGTAGAGATTACTACATGTATAAATGGCTGGGAGGTGGACAAAATATACATATTGGCCAGAGAATGTGTCTAAAATTAGGGAGTGAAAGGTAGTTGATTGACTAATGCTAGAAAGTGGAGAAATTCTGCCCAAAAGTGCTCAAAAAATATTGCGCGTAAATTGCACCTTTTTTGCTAGCTGCAGATCTGTAGCGTTATGGTTTTATATATTTGTCTTTGACCATAACGCTACAGATCCCGTAGTGCAAAAAAGGTGCAATTTACGGCGCAATATTTTTTGCGCTCTTTTGGGGGAGAATTTCTCCACTTTCCAGCATCGCCAATTAACTACCTTTCACTCCCTTTTTCTAGACATATTATTTAACAAATCTGTATATTTAATCCATCTCCCAACCCTTTATAGTCGTCTCTACAAGTGATAAATTCGCTTGATTAAAATTATTTGTAAAATTGCTGAAAATGCACTTCAAGCGAGTTTATTGCCTGTAGAGACAACTATAAATGGTTGGGAGGTGGATAAACTATACATATTGGCTACAGAATGTGTCTAGAATTAGGAAATGAAAGGTAGTTGATTGACCAATCCTAGAAAGTGGAGAAATTTTCCCCAAAAGAGCGCAAAAAATATTGCGCCGTAAATTGCACCTTTTTGCACTACGGGATCTGTAGCGTTATGGTCAAATACAAATATATAAAACCATAACGCTACAGATCTGCAGCTACTTTTTTGCTAGCTGCAGATCTGTAGCGTTATGGTTTTATATATTTGTCTTTGACCATATGGTCAAATACAAATATATAAAACCATAACGCTATATTGATTTTTCCTGCAAAGCTACTTTTTTGCATATGGAAATCTGTAGCGTTATGATCAAAGACAAATATATAAAACCAGATCTGCAGCTACATGGTCACCTGAGCATATTATGCTCAATTTGATGAATACATGTATTATGTAAATTATTGAATTGTATTGACTTTTTCCTTGGTAAAGCCCAATATGAAGAAGTGTGCATTTAGAGGCAAACACCTTAGTGCGGGTATTACTGTCTCATGACAGCATCTAGTTTTCATTTTAAATAATTTAAGAAACTCAAGATAAAACCCGCCGAAATATGGCTGAAATATTACCAACTCGGTGTAAAACAGCAAAAATCAATCAAATCAATTTAAAAAATACAGAATAAACAACTCAAATGCATGGTTGCAATTTGTTGAAAACATAAGAGTCAGTCTACTAATAATGCTGTTTGGTTACATGTAGTAAACTTCTCACATCTCTACTTCTGAACTTTTTCTTAAAATTTATCAACAGCCTCGGTATAATGAGAAAGTTCTTCGTATGTGTTTGGTTTATCAAGAACTCCTAGGTCCGTATAATTGGATCCGTCCCTAGTATGAAACGAAGCATATAAATATTAAGCAAGTTTTAAGAATATTGATAACGAGATGCCGGTTGCAATTTATAAAAAGTATATCAAAATTGGAAAATATTTAAAAATACCTACCCTTCACCAGTTGCGGATTTTCCTAGAAAAAATGAAGGCAATTAAATTTTAAAACATCTGTTGTTGTTAGTTATCCTTTTGCTAAAGTAAAAGAATGCATACATTGTAACTCTATAGTTTAAAAAAACAAAAAAATAATTAATTAATAAAGTAAAGTTATTAAACATAATATCCATTTAAGATAAATAAATTCATTTGCTTGAAAATTTAATGTATAAATGACATTTAGAGATTATGATTTTAGAGAATTTTTCAGACCTGTACTTCCAGTAGCATCCGCGTTCTTCATCTTAATCTTTGAAGCCTTAAGCTAGAAAGAAAAATTAAACTAATCTGTCTTAATAAATAAGTTTAAAAAAAAAATAAATAAATAAGCAAAACCAAATAATATATAAAATATTCAATGTTTATTTAATACATGATATAAATCTTACCTTTTCAGTTCCAGCTAAAGAAAAACAATAGCATTTTATCTAGTTTTTAATTTAAAAATCTATGTAATAGATCGAAAATATAAATGAGGATTTTCCTATTTGGTTTCCGTAGATGTATTTAAATGAAGCTTTATGTTTTCATTGTATACAATACAATTTGTTAAGCTCAAACTGAGATTCTGAAATATCTACTTAATTACAAATGAAAGTAGTACATGTGGCACAATTAAGCACTTTCAAACTCTATTTAAGATAACATGTGTAAGTATTACTGAAGATACTGAATTGAGTTTACTGATAATTTTTACCAACGAGTCATAGTCTTTATTGCCAAAAAGCGTTAATTCCAAAAAAATAAACACATGTACTCACCGTGTTTCCTCTTCCATATGATAAAGTTAAGAATACTTCCAGTCAGAACAAGGAATAAAGAGATGACAATGTTAATAATGATACTAGTGGTGTTGGGTTCACAGTTGTTGGACACAGTTCTGCTAAGAAGAACTCCTGTAATTTGAAGTTTCCATGGATTATTTAATACATATTGAATTAAAGTGCATTTTTAAAATCCTGAAAATAAAATTTGCAGAACTAAAAGGTAGCTAAAATCATGATATGCAAAGTTATCAGGACAAACATTTGAAAAAAATGTTTTCCTCAAACACAATATGTGATGCAAAATATGTAAGACCTTCACTGCAAAGATATCCTGTTAACCCCTCAATACAGCCTTCGTCACAAACACCGGTGATGACGTTACATGTTTTGTTTCCGCCACAATAAGCCTTACAGTTTTCCTGGCAGTTTATACCAAAGTATCCGGCAAAGCATTCTGGAAAAGAAAAAGATTGAAATAATTATGATGAAATCTTGATACCAAGAAAAATATAGTTTTTTGGGTGTAATTTTCGGTACCGTTATTTATTTTGAATTTCTACTTTTTTGCAATCAAAATATTCAGTTGTATTTATTTCTTTTCTGGATATTGGAATAAGGTTATTTTAATGTTGCATATATATTTTAATCAAATGTACGTGTTTATTTTTACAAAAAAAGGTGAAATTTGCTTTCTCGAAAAAAATCTCTGTGTATTCCTTTCTATTTTTTTTATATTGCTTTTTTTCTTCCCGTAAATTCTTACTTAAACTAAAAAAGATACCTTTCATGCATGTCGCCCCATGAAATCCAGGAGAGCAGCCTTCTCCACATGTTCCGTTCACGTGATTGCAATGTGATTCGTTAAAACAGTGACCACAGATCTGACGGCAGTCATCACCATACGTACCATCCTCACATTCTTAAAGATAATCAACAGGCATTATATTATTATATCGGAGAATTTGATAAAGATAAATTAGGTACTAAATGAAAAAGAAAGTTCTTTGATGACAGTATATCCATATTTGAAAAAAAAGGTTTGCTTGTTCTCTTCCGAACTACTGCCTGGAAATAGCCTACTCAAAATTTTTTTCACACTTTAGGACAGTATATTTTTACACTATATTTTTTTTTCTTCTTAACCCGTCAACAAATATGTCGAAATTTCTCGGGGAAAACTTTGCGACCAACCTACCGATCCAATAATCTTTAATCATACCGATCCAAGAGCCCAAAAGGGCAAGAAAGTTTTCTGTTCTTTTTCCACCCATCTACGGACCCAAATTTGCTATCCTTAGTTTTAAAAGGGCAACTTAAATTTATTATACTGTTGGCAGAGAGTATTTCAACTTTTTCGAAATTTTCTTAGTTTTTAAGATAAGTAAAGAAAATAATCAAATATTAGGAAATATACATTTTTGACCATGCAAACAATTTAAATGTTCGAATGAGATGAGAATGTACTAGACTATACTGAGCATCTAGCACATACTTTTCATGCAATATTCTTGATATCAGAGAGAACATATGAGACATGTCTTTGGCAAAAAAGTTATCTTTTACGTAATTCACGTCAGGCCCCAAGACCACAAATTGAGAACATACTAAAGTCAAAATTTTGATTTTCAATATCTCAATCTTCATTTAAAGTTTTAGCTTGAAAGTTTGTAATTATGCATGACACACCATGTAAAACATATACGATGAAAATTTTATTTTATTATGAAACCCTTTTTGAGAGTTATATCAATTTGAAATTTAGACTTAGTTGGTTCTCTTGGTCTTTAAACCAGGAATATATATGAATCAAAGTATAATCTCTTCAATGCCCCCTTACTTACTCTGTGTACATCTGGGTGTCTCCCAACCCGCTATACATTTCTCCATACACTCCCCGGTAAACCGGTCACATCTATTTGTAACAAAGCAGTTCTCGCTGCATCTCTGACTGCAATTCTTCCCATAAAACCCCGTAGAACATTCTACGCAGAATAAAGAGTTAAAATTATAAGCTTATAAAATTGTTAACATATTATCAGATTTATAATCTAAAATAGTTCATGAAGTGAAATCCCCGGCTAGTAGTTTATCTTCTGACTGATTTATTTATTAATTTGGGATTAAAGTTTTTGGTATCTAGACATTTATTTGAAAAGTATGCTTTTTCATGGTGGAGCATTTCGCATGATATAGCGAAACATTGATAAACAAAGGAAGAATTTTTTTGAAAATCTTTTTAAAAGGTATATTTTTGGAACCTTTGCCGGATGCAAAAATCAAGCTCTTTCAAGAACTTTAATCATTTGATCATTTCATTTTCATGTACTTTGGAGTTATTCAATGAAGTAATACATTGTGTATTTGTGTGCATTATACTTTTTTTTAAATTGAGATAGAGTCATACCAGTCTGACATTTCTCCCCTGTCACCCCTTCGCTACATCCACTTATACATTCCCCGTTCACGTGATGACAGGGGTCTCCATCACTGCAGTTACCGCATAATAAAGCGCATCCAAGTCCATAGCTATACTGATCACAGGCTAAAAATATAAACAGAAAAAGAACAATTAAATATTGAGTACAAACTGTATACATTTGCAGAACACAAGTATTAATTTTAAGATATCAGTCCAAAGAATATTTTAAAATTTGTTAAGTAGTCAAACAAATCTAATAAGTTTGTTTAATACTAATGTAAAAATATAAATTAGTCTAAAGCGCAATTTAGTCACATGTGGTATGACTTCAGATTAATGTATGGAAAACGTCCGTTATCTCAAAGGAAAGCATAACATTTCTCTTGAAATGAAATATATAAAGATAATGAAAGGAAAACTATTCAAGCTTGAAAGAACATTAAATAAAAAATTGGAGCAGAGAAAACACAGACCTCAAAAACAAAAAATATACAACAAAACGTACCTTGACTGCAGCGAGCACCTTGATAGCCCGGTATACAGGCCAGACAATGGCCGGTGGTGATGTTACACCTCTGCTCTTGACATTTGTCGGGACATGTTTGGTTACAATCCTCTCCATACATCCCATTGTTAGAACACCCTTATTCATAACATTAGGACAACTTTATTTATCGATAGATTTTTTTATGCTTTTGAAAAAAGTAGTCAAATACTAGTTATGTCTGTTTTAAAACTATTGAATAAACAGTTGATAATATTAGTAATTTTTGAGAGAAAAAATATTCAAGAAGTACCATACCATAAACTTCCAATTCACATAAGTCATTGTATGCAAATGTAGAATAGAAACTTGGATATGCTACATTCGGATTCCTCTCGTTGTAATATATAACATAACGTCCATGTACAGGACAGTTTATTGTCTGGTTCTCTGTCGGTGTACCGTTCACTTGTTGTAACTCATGGAAACAAAGATGGCCATCCTGCCTTCTTGTTGTATTAGAAACGTACACAAAAAATCCAGCAAAGTTACCGTAGTAAAGGCCGGGACCTAGAAATACAATAAAGAGTTGTAATTCAGGAAAGAAATCACATAGGCACCGGGACATTAACCAATCTTGAAAGGGATAAGGGGTTGTGTTTCTCAGGGTCAAGGATATTGCTCAGAAAGTTTGACATGAATCATTATGCTGGAGAACTACCCCCCTAAATAAATAAATGAATTTAGTTTTACTCACTGGGATAGTTCTCTGTCCTGTAGAAGATGTTGATGTGGCTGATGCTGACCACACTCTCTAAATCAACTCTCCATTCCGCTGTTTGTTTCTTGTTGTCTGATATTGTGCACTGCCCTCCTAAGGCTCTTCGGTCAGAGTACTGTCCATCTACCGCTTTGGCCGCTGCCCATATTACTGGTCTATTTGGCCAGGGATTCTGTTGCCATGCTGGTTTATTAAGAGCTAAATTTTCTGTCGTAAAAGCATTCTCTTAAGTATAACATTTAGTCTATAAGCAACCATAACTACTAGTTTTAAAGTAGTGGTTTCCTTTTTGAACGTATATAATATACAGTATGTCACAAGTGTTATTAAGACATATTTACTCATCAGACATATCAGTGTTTTCAGAAAATTGTTGATCATATATTCTGAATGATTATTAAAAGAGATATATTTTATAAAGAGAATATTTAAACAATAAAATGCTTTCTTTGTTATTAATGAAATTAACGGTCGCAGCTGTTGCAGAAAAATACATGACCCGCGTAAGCGGGTTATGTAAATTTTTTCTGTAATAGCTGCGACCGTTAATTCCAGTAATAACAAACAAAGAAAGACATTTTATTATTTATATCTATATACGTTTAAATAATCATAATAGTAGGATTTAAAAGATTAATTATTGTATTAATGATGCGAACGTCTTTATACGTTTCATTGATGGAACAGCCACTGATCAAGAAATCTGAACAGGCGACATGCCTAATGTAGTTCATGCAGTGATTAACGCAATAGGTTTTCATAAGAAATAAAGGAAATTATGTTCAGTGGATGTAAATATAATAAGATAAAGACTTCTTCTGTTAAAACAAAAATATAGTTTATTTATTTTATATTGATTTCTTCCTTAAAACAAAGGATAAATCCATAAGAGGAGTTGATTATCCTTTTGAAAATAACACTTTGACGCGCAATAAAATCTTACAACTCGACATCATTTCTGCAAGGAAGATATTAGGGCTGGGTATTGGCCTGAGATTTCGTAATATATTATGATATTTTTAAAATCTGTATTTATGTGTATTGGTATTTTACAATGTAATAAAAATGGCTTTTCTTAAATATATTTACTTATTTGCATGTTAAGGCAAACAGAAAAAATTCTTGTTGAATTCATTGATTATGCCTTTTGAAAATAACACTTTGAACTTTTATAAGTCACATTTTTATATTTTGACAAAATTCCTTAATCTAAGCATTTGCCAATATATCGATATTACAAAATCGAATTGACATATTTTTTAAAAGATTGTATGCAATATATTGGAATTATTGTTATGTCAACATGAACCCTTATCTGATCCAAACACATGTTATAAAGAAACATTGTGAAACGATATTTCAGGTTGAAATAAAGTGAGTAAAATGTCCTGATTAGGCAAAGAAAAAAAGGAACCCCGGGTACAAAGTTGCCTTACTTATAGAATTTATGGAGTTGCATACCTGATACATGAAAGATGACTATTTTTGTGCAAGTCAAATCTTCGCGATTTGTCGTTTTTTTAAATGCCTTTGAAACACAAAGGCTATCAATATAAGAGGAATGTAATTAAGGAGGAAGTAATTAACCCGGATTGAATGTTGGAGGGCGGGGGTTGTCGCAGTTATCTATGAAAAAATAGTACCTTATTTAAATTTTAAATCCTTACCATAACATTCAGTACAACTGACAAGCAGAAATACCAGGACAACGCCGATAACCATGTCTATCTGCCACTCTTTTCTATTGAACATAAATTTTGAAAAAAATTTAATCCATCATTTAGGAGGGGTGTCCGGTAAAATTGTTGACAAAGCTTTTTTTCAAAAAAATAATTACTGGGCCCACTAAACTGAAATTTCTCGTTAATATTTATTTATCATATTTAAGTTCATCTTAATTTCTGTAAGCAAAACTAGAACTGCCCAAAGGGGACAAATACACCCACACTCCACACTACCCCCGCGCTGTGTTTTTTTTTTTCACAGAAAGTGCCAAATCACGAATATTTTATGGAACTAAGAGGAGTTTCAATTTTCTAAAAGGCTTGTACAGTGAAAATATAATTGCTCATTATTTTTTTTTTTATGAATGAATATAAAGTGCAATGTGATAACAAAAAAATCAATACTTATAAATTACATCGTTTTAATTACATTGCAAAATAAATTGCAGCTAACTGTCATTTTGGTAGACACGACACTGCAAATTGCTTGTTGAAAAAAGCATTCTATTCAAATCAAAATGTAATACCGGTACTTAGTGTTTTTTTATATTTCTTGAAAAAAAAATCTTTACAACTCAAAATATAATACCGGTACTTAGTGATTTATATTTCTTAGTTTTCATGATTCCTTTTCAGACTTAAACTCTAGACGGTCCCGACAAAAGCTCATCTACAGACAGACGGAATGGTGATTCCAATGTACACCCCCTTCCCCAAAAACTTCCTTTGAGGTAGATATAAAAAAGTTATTGTGATTGAATTTGCTCAGAGCACAGTTCTATACAGGGTACGATTGAAAAACCAGTGTTTCATTAGAGAATATTACAACACTCACTGAGAATTACTTCAAAATAAAGTATAAAGTATCAAATAGAAAAAAAAATGTATATTATACTTTTATAAATCCAATATCAATTTTGTCGTCTTTGGAAAATTTCAAGAAATTTGCTTCATCTTTGGCAGTTTCAAGAACAATCGAAATGGGAATTAGTGTCAATACTTTTCAATCATTGATAGATTTCAGTTATTACCAATTCCACTTGAAACATAATTTATATGTGACATTGATGTTAAATAACTGCACATAATTATGACGGTATAGATTAACGATGCGCCATTTATTAAACACGGAGAATAGTTATTAATATCAACAAAACAATTTAATTTTTACCCCATATGTGAATAAAAGTAGATTCATCCAATTAAATAATAACTAAAAACTCAAATTCGGATAAATTACTTACATTATAAAATCTTTTTTTTCGCTAGTGTCCTTATGTAAAATAGGATGTTAAACTTTTATTGTTTTTCCGATAAAACTAAGTGCTTTAACAGTGTACGAGCGTTTACAACTTCCTTGTTGATTAATTACATGTATTAGCCAAGTTACATGTATAAAGCAACTGTATTTTGATAAAAGTATCATTAAATCAACAGAATTTACGTTTTACTCAATAATGACTAGGTTGACCCAGCAGTTGTAATTGGTAAAAGCAGGGGATGCCCACTTTTCAATGTAATATATGGACCTAAAAAAATGTATTTTAGCTCGAAAGTCCATTAGACATTACGAGATAGAAGGATGCAAACACGGATTTTCACAGCAAATAGAGGTGGGGTCAGGTGCAATGCAGGAGTGAGCATTCCCTACCGACCGGTCACACCCGCCGTATGCTCTGAGTCATGTTCGGAAAAAAACGGGAAAATCCGACGACACTTTATTAATAAACTCTGAAAATAATGGCCTAACAATCAGTATGCAAAATGTCAGTCAGCATATGACTCAATGATAAACTGCATTTGTATGTGCCAACAGTGTCATTGTTTCGACCATAGAAATTTAATAACGATGACTATAAACAAGACTGCTGATATTCTTGCTTCCTCAACTTGTTTTGTCAATAACTTACCTCGTTTGATAAAATGCTCTACACTTTCGAATCAACTTAGAGACATAAACTCCGTATGCAGATGACAAAGATATATTGCTGCATAAGTAAGGGGAGTAGGTGTTTGAAAGGTGAAATCATCACTATTATCATAACGCTTTGTTGTTAAATAACAATTTTTCTAGTAAAGAATCCATATATGAAACAGATGTGTCAGACTCTGTGGTATCTTTTATCTAAAACTCACTTGGCTAGATCCTGATGACATAAAAATGGAAATAACTATTGTTAATTAACAATACCTCGTCTATATACCTTAATGTCGAGTTGAAGGCAGAAGCAAGTGTGTTCTTCTATTCAAATAAAAGAACTAATTCTGCTTCATTATTAATACACTGAAATGACGACGGATTTTCCGTTATTTCCCGATCATGACAAGGAGAACACGGCGGGTGTGTCCGGTCGGTAGGGGATGCTCACTCCTCCATGGCACCTGATCCGACATTTGATGTTTTGGAGGTCCGTGTTTGCTCTGCTCCTTTTTTGTGTTGTTTTGTGGAATTTTGATCTTGAATACTGTTCGTTATCTCCATATAACATATTATATGAATTCGAAGAAGTCTGTTTCATTCCTTTTCACATAATTTGAGTAAATGAGCTCTAGTTTCATTATAAAAATTTCAAGTGAGCTTAATTTATTGCAGTCCTGAAATATAAATACCTCCGATATAAATTGTTTTTGGACCCCAAGACATAAACTTCAATAAAATTCTTTAGATTTATTATGCTTTATTACAGGTGAGAATAATTTACTTAATTAAATACAGTATGATTCTCTCTTAAAATGTATAAAATATATTTCTTGTTTAATTCTCTAAACAACCTCTTAAATCTTGATCAACGTAAATAAAGTTATTAATAAGAAGAAAAGTATCCAGTATTTTTACACCCATGCAAAAGGGCACAGTTTGTTCTTATTAATCAACATTTTGCTATCGAATGTCTCTTTAAGGTCATTTTCATTCATTAGAGTAGATATTTTCTTGTGTTTGGTCCTGTTGTAACCGGATGTACTCCAACACAGCTGTATGTATCATTCTGTATTCCTCCTGTAACACATAAAAGAAACTCTATCTTTATATTTATTTATGCTAACCAGACACTTAAATTTTCAAACACTTTCTGCATATGCATATAAAATGTTGCTTTAATGCTAATAAATTACTTTCCCAAATAGAAGTATACGTAAATGTATAATTTCTATTAAAAAAAAAATACATACAAATATAGCATATTTTTCGGGAAAATGGGACAAAAAGAATTTTCATTTTTACAACTATACTTTGAAGACATAATAGACATTTATATCATTTAGAATTATCTCCCTCATCAGAGTATCGATGAACCTTTAAAAAGATTATTAAGGTTTATTGGCCATAAAAAAGAAAAAAAAATATAAGACTTACAAAAGAGGAACATAACTCAGGACGTCTGATCTGTAGCTGTCGTACAGCAGAGAATATGTCCATCTCCCCGTCTACAGACAACTGTTGTATTACATTGTAAACAGCACAGAATACACCACACAGGACTGCACCATCACTGTAATGATAAAGATCATATTAGTTTTCATACAAATCCAATGCTTATTACTTTAATAAAAACAGGAATTCGCGCATAATAGATTACCAGATTCATAAACCAAAAACAGGAACTTTGATCTCAGAAAAAGTGTTGCAGTTGTAAATGACGTATGTAAACAATATTTCCTTCCAACAGACTAAAGCATTGAAAAATATCACCTGCTGACGACAGTTATAGGTCCCTGGGTTTCATTGTCCATTACGATGGTCACAAGCTTTACTAGAAGTGATGCCCCATGATTCGTTGACAGCAAACTGAACATAGGTTCGGAAACAGAAACCGTGTATGCTTCATCACTTTGCTGTATTAAAAACATTCTGCTTAAATGGCATAGTTTTGGTAATGAATACTTCATTACATGTAATTAGCTAACGGATACATGTAGTCAATAAATGCTGTTTCAATAATTTTCAATTATACTTATTATTATCAAGATAATAAAGTTTAAAAGAAATCTAGAGTATAAAATAACATTCCGATCCAAAAGACAAGGAGATTTTTTGTTTTGCTTTGAAATTAATGTGTTTCATTTGAATTCAATTTAATTATTAATATATTAGACTCACTTCTTCTTGAAAGATTTGAATAGTAGAACAGTTTACACCATCGATATCTGCACTCTTCCTTTGACAGTGAACGGTAAATGGGGCCACAATTTTAGATTCGTCCGTACCTGGCATCCACTTATTGCTCTAGAAACACAGTAAAATATGATTTTTGATTTTTTTTTAAGAATTAATGAATTCTATTCTTTTCAACTACAAAAAAATATTGTAAAGGTATATAAAAATCAATGACAAAAAGACACGTTCGTCTCTCAATTGTCACAAATCTAAGAATATACGATTTCATATCAATGCGAATATTTTTTTAAAATACGGATTTCCTAGAAAAGGACTGTACCGATTCTACTTGAAGTAAAGGATCCATACAAACAACTACATCTGATTCGTGGTCAGTGAGCAGGCGCAGGAAATCTACAGCGTCCCCTGGCGGAGGATAGTGCGTCACAATGAAGGCTTTATTGTTCACATATGACTAAAAGGGAAGAAGAAATATCGTCTTTGACAGGCAGATAAGAGATTGTAAAGATTGTTCACAATGATATATATTTGGAAACAAAATAAACCGTTAATATGTTTATCAATAACAATTTTCCATGTGAAGTGTACCTTTTACAACTTACACTAGATGACCAATTCGATACTTTCCAATATAATTAATCAGAAATGATTTATTTGAAATCAAATAAATTTAAAATCTCTTGCAAAACATACGTACGGAAAGTGTAACTGCGTTTATAAAACCTCCACGCTTCGGTACATTTGAAGACAGGAACAAACTGTACTTATCAACTGTAAAATAAAAAAGTCAACATTGGATAAGAACACAAGTTAATCCCACCATATGACACGCGTAAACAAAGAGTGTGCTATAATCTCAATAATATGCTAAGCGTCAAGTGGAAAACCTTTGCAGAGTGGGTATAATAAGTGACATACGTGGAAGAATAGACGATCCTTTTCCTTGTCCTGCCTGAATGGCAAGTTTATAATCTTCTTCTGTATAGGTGGGCCTGACTTTCAGCAGAGACTACAATTAAAGAAACGTGTGGTTTATGTTTTAATTTTTGTTAAATTTGATACAGCTTAAAAATTTCAAAGTACCTATAAAAAATGGAATTTTGTATTACTTTAAAGTTCTACATACAAATCATGTACCATCAGATTCTTTAGCATTTCTTTAAGAAACACACGCATATGGGAAAATACCTGAGGGCTTGACATTGGTCGAAATTGTATCTTAACAGGTTATTGTAAATATGAACTTTCATAATCAAACTTTCATATCATGTACGAGGGCTGTTCGGAAATTATTGAGACAATTACATTTACTCAATAAAGGACGGAGATAATTTCAAGAAAATTCATCAACATTTTATAAAGAACTAATAAAACACTTATGAAAAATTTCTAATTCCTGGGATAATTAGATAAATTTTGGTGAAATGATAAACTTGCATATGTCCATCGACCCGGAGCAGCATCGCTACGTCATTTAACGTCACGTCAGCCGGAGACAGTTTCGCATGTGAAACGATCGGGAAGCGTTTAATACTCTTCCTTCTTTGTTATTAATATCTATAACATTACAAAAATCAAACAATCTCTTTTCTTTCAGTATTCTTTAAAAATGTATGCTGTTGCTACCCCTGTGTAAAATTTTCATATTGGGGAAAGGATGACTTAGAATCATGCAGTGCCGATTTATGCAACGCGGATCAACGATATTAATACCGTACGTAATAACTCATGGTTGTCCAGAGCTTTTAATTTTACTAAGGTTGAATTAATTGTAAAAGAAAAAAATACCAATAAAATAACAATACATAACACATTATTTATTTAATTGTTATTGTTTTAACAGGTCATTCAGTCTAGAAAGAGTTCTACATTGTGTTACACAAAATTTTAGGTATGCTGGCTGCTCCGACCATGACGTCAAAATCCATTTTGTCGTTAAGAACACACATTAGCAGATTTTCTACCGCGCTTAATTGTTTTATGATCTCCGTATTTCTGATTGAAGATTTATCAAAGTTCCAAAAGATGAATGTGAAATAAAGCCTAAAAATGATACACATAAAACGAATTATTTCCGCTCTTATTATGGGTACACGAAGAGTTAAAACGTTGGTGTTTCATATTTCTAATATCTGATTTCATGACTGCTCCGGGTACCCCTACTATTGACCCATTTATATACCATTGTAGAGAAAATATCTAATATTTGTAAAATATGTCTTGCTTTTATTAATTCTTAGAGTGTGTCAAACCTGTATGCAAATTTTCACCGAAAGACGTTCATTAGAAAGCAAAATATACAAACTGTCTCAATAATTTTCGAACAGCCCTCGTATACTGTATTTATTATAGGATGTTGACAGTTAGCAGAATTAATTCCAAAACAGTCATTCCTTAATTTTATCATATTTGAATTTCCTGAAAGTATCATTTCAAGTTCATTTTGATAGGTCAAATTACCTGAAACTCCCTCCTGAGATCAGTCTGATTGGCTGGTTTATCACTCTTCATTGATTCCGCTTTCCTGATAAAGTCTGATTTCTTCAGGACAGAGGGACACGCCTTAAACATGTAATTGAGAGCCAGAAATATGGTTATATATTGTTCCTGCAAAAAATGTTTTGGGAATAAATTAAAAATCATGGCACAATTAAAAATAACATTCCACATGTACTCATCTTTTGACATTTCAAGAAATTGAAGTTTACTTGATTTGAGTAAAGCAGACTGTATTGGACAACATATACTAAGCAAATTATACTTTTCCAAGGATTTTCAAATCATGAAACACATTGAGATAACAAAGAGTTTTCAAGATGGATATGGAGATAACGAACAGTATTCAATATCAAAAACCTATAAAAAAAATTACAAAATAGGAGCAGAACAAACTCGGACCACCAAAACATCAGATGTGGTATCAAGTGCCATGGAGGAGTGAGCATCCCCTGCCAACCGGTCACACCCGCCGTGCGCTCGTTGTGATGATCAGGAAATAACGGAAAAAATCCGTCCTCAATTCAGTGTATAAATAATGGACGAAAATGGGTATGAAAAACCTTATGGGACACATGATAGAAGGTCAAAAAGGCATGCATATATATTTGCGTTTGGTACGTAGAAACATTTCTAGTTTTATAATGTTAACATAATAAAGCACATATAATTCAAATACTTTCACATTACGTACGTAAGTTTGGACCATATTCATCCTGTTTTCTCGCATTCTCTTGACGTATTCTGCTATGTTGATTTTCCTCTCTGTTTTACCTGTCTTATAAAGGGCGTCTATAGCTAGGTATGTCCCAGTGCGACCTATCCCCGCGCTACAAATAAAAACATTCCTCCTTATTTTAAAGTCATAAATGCTAATCCAATTCAGAAATTGACGGTGTTGTTTTGTTATTTGTTTGCTTCATATTCCTGAAA